AAACAAAAACAAAAACCAAACACCCAAAGAAACCTCCCAAACCATAAGATTAAGCAGAACAAACTCCGTGTTGTTTTAACAAGGAAGGACACTTTAAAGCTTTAGTGAGTTTGCTGTTTCATTCCTTCTGCTTTTCCCTTTTCCCAGGAAGGCACACGTACACACACACACACACACACACACAGAGATCCGGCTCGGGCTGAGGTCACACGGTCAGTGCCACGGCTGGAGGACACGGCCACTGCTGCAGCAGTCCGAGGTGCAGCTGGGAGCTCTGCACCTCAGTCATCCCCATCTGCTGTGTCCTTTGAGCTTGACACAACGAGGACCCAAAGGGTCTGAAAAAGCAGTTCCAGATTTGAGACTTGGAAGTTGATCAGGCAATGGAATCAGATTTCTTCAGCCTCTCCTTGATTCTCACGTTCTAAGTGCGGGCAGTGAAGCACATCCCATCGCAGAGAGTTAAGGAATTTTGGGAGTGATACTGAATAACAGATTGGTACAAGTATTTTTGATGTTTGTTTTTAAACCTTGTATTTGTCTAGGAGCTCCATTATGGGTAAACTCACCTGCCAGCAAAGGAATACTTTAAAAAGTTCATCAGAATTGCACCGAGGTTTAAATTCATCACCATTCACCCCATAAATATGGAAGGCCAGGAGGAATTACCTGTCACACACACAGGCCCTGCTCCCTGGGCGTGTGCCCAGACGCACCACGAGTGCCAATGCCCCACAGGCAGGACAGGGTCACAGCAGCTTCAGCAGGAACTCGTAGGTGGCGTTGATGATCCCCCAGGACAGCACAGAGCGGTGGTAGTTCAGGTGGGCTCCTCTGAAGAGGCGCATCAGTTTCCTGTCGCGCTCCAGCCAGATCTTCACGAGCACTTTGGAGAAGGACTGAAACTCCCCGCCAATCTGAGCCTGCATGCGAGTCTTTACCACATTCACTGGGAAGAACAGGAAGCCCAGCATGGCGCCCAGCAGCCCCCCACAGATGAAGTCGTTGATCAGGTGGGTGCTGTGTGAGGTCGCCTCAGGCAGACACTGCTTGATGGGCCCGCGCAGGCCGAAGAACAGCACGTTACTGGGCCCGTTCCGGAGCAGAATGGGCACCAGCCCCCGGTAGTACTCCCTCATCCCATAGGCTTTTAGCACCTTGAAGGCCTGGTAAGTGTTTGTGAACTTGTCGTGGTGTTTGTAGTCCTGCAGCAGCGTCTGGACGCGCTCGAAGGGCGTGAGCACGGCCTCGGTGGTGCCGGCGAGCGCGGCGGCCGCGCTGCGCGTCACCAGCTCGGGGGCGCGCGCGTGGCTCAGCAGCAGCGCCGAGAAGTCCTCGTAGAGGCCGAACATGAGCGCCAGGGTGGTGGTTTTCTGCAGCAGCGGGGGCAGGATGCCGCGGTACAGCGTGCGCAGCCCGTCGCGGCGCAGCTGGCGCACGGCGTCCTGGGTGCGCAGCCCGTACAGCTGCTGCCGGAACAGCACCTTCTGGATGGGGAAGGTCACCGCGATGTTGGTGAAGGCCGCGCAGTACCCGCACACGTAGTGCTTGCCCGGGGCTGCCTCCTCCCCGCTCGCAGGGTCCTCGGGCTCAGCGCCTCCCGCACCCATCGTCCTGGCGCTCCCGTGCAGCGTCCTCAGAGCCTGCTCCCTGCACCAGAGACAACCACGTGAGCGGGGCCGAGGGGACCCTGCAGCCTCTGCCACAGCCGGGCACCACTCACACAACCCCTCAGCAAAAGGCCCGCCAGGTTTGATGGGGAAATCAACAAATGCCACATCTGATGGGTGCTGCACGGTGTTCTGTTCAAGCCTCAGAGACAGTAAAAGGCAGCAGTTCTGCCTTCCCGGGCACTTTCCAGTTAAAACCCAAATCAGGAAGGAAATTGAGATGCAAACTCCTGGAGTGATACACTACATCCAGTAAGCTTACAAACCAGATTTCCCTTGGAATTCCCCTGGAATTAGGAACTGTCACAGTGAAAGGCTGACCCTCACACTAACTAAACACCAAAATTAAATCCAACACGTGCAGCAGCATCACAACAACTGATCCTTCCACTCTGCCTCTCCCTGCAGCGGAACACAGCAAATAAATCACAGCCTGTTGTGGTTTATCCCAGCCAGGAGCTGAGCACCTCCAGCCACTCCCTGTGTCCCAGCCACAGCCAGCGCACAGGGGCCACACAGGAGGGATTTCCGTGACTCTGAGGTGAAATTCCCTGGCAGTCCCAGTTCCTTGCCCTGCAGCCTCCTCTGCATCCACCCCCACACTCTGCTGAGGAGTCTCAGAGCTTGAGCGGGGCATGACCCGGGTCCTGAAGGACAACCCGGGGGAGGACGGCAGAGACCGGTACTTACGGAATCCTGTTTGTCAGCAGAAGGGGACTTTTTATTTAATAGTTATGAAATTCAGTTTCTGCCTGAATCCCACCCTCCATCACAGCTCAGCCTGAGGGAGGTCACTGAAGTGGAAGCAGGCTGAGAGCCTCAAATCCTCCCCAGCGCCAGCAGCACGAGATTCCCAGGATCTGAAGGGAGCGTGGGGACAGCAGCCCTGCCTGATGCAGGAGGTGCTGAATGGAGGGAGGAAAGAGGAGGAGAAAGAAAGGAGGGAGGGAGGAAAGGAGCTGGGAGTGGGGGGAAGCGAGGAGGGGGAGCGAAAGGGAGCGGGGGCGGGGGAGAGAAAGCAGAGAGGGGAAGAAAGGGAAACCCATTTTCAGCCGCGCCCTCTCCCTGTGGTGTGCCCGCCGTCTTTGTCCCCTGGGGAAGGCCCGAATCGGGAGGAGCTCCCGCCAGGCTCCCGGCAGGCCCGTCCCCGCTGTCGCACGGCGGGGACAGGGTCCGGGGAGGCCGGAACCGTGGCCGCTCCCCGAGCACTCCGACCGCCCCCGGCACCGCGCCCTGCCCGCGGAGCCCACACGGCACATCCCGCGCTTCCCGGCGGCGTTCCGGCCCCTGCACCGCGGCCCAAGGTCAGGCCGGCGGCCGCGGCCCGGCCGGGCCCTCGGAATCGCACCTTTCCACCCCCGGTGCGCTGCGGCCGTGGCCGGGGCGGGCGAGCGGGACGCACCTGCGGGTGGTGGTGCCATGGCGGGGGGAGCGGGAGCGGCGGGATCGGGATGAGGAGCGGGGTCGGGATCGGGATCCGCGCCCGGAGCGCCCGGCCCGGCGCGGCACCGCGCCGCTCTCTGACGTCACCGCGCCGCCGTGTGACGTCACCGCGCCGACGCGGGGCGGGCGGACCGCGAGTCGCTCAGGCCACGCCTCCGACTTAGTCTCAGCCAATCGAGTGAGGTCACGCTGGGCCTCGCCCAGGGTGGGCGGGGCCAGGAACGGGAGCGGGAGCGGGAACGGGAACGGGAATGGGAGCGGGAACGAGAACGGGAGCGGGAGCTGGAACGGGAACGGGAGCGGGAACGGGAATGGGAGCGGGAACGGGA